TTGATCCAACTGGAGCTTGGAGCGAGCCAACTGGAGCTTGTTGAGTCAGAGAGTGGAGTTGCCCCACCTTCTTAGAGTCCAAGGTTCCTAAAAGGCCCAAGCATTTAGACCAGGCAATTAGCAACTAGCAGGTCAACACCTGTTCGAGCTGACGAGCTGTACACAGAGGTTTTGTTGTTTGGATATTGGAGGTAGGCGCGCCCTTGAGATGGCACTCTTCACATCATGTTTCTTTGAGGCTGACATCGCCAGAGACATGGCACTTAACCCCTTGGACGAGTTCGATGCCTTTGCGTCTGACGTCCATGGCTTCCATCGACAAACTTTCAGGCACCTTGCTGATATCAGATGATCAACCCAAGATGCCTGTCAACCGCGTGGCCACAAAACTGGTAGAGACCTCCAGAGAGGTGTAGTACCATGTAATCACTCTGGCATCATCGAACTTCATCTTCATCCGCGGCTGATTTAGAACGCACCGCATGCCAGCATTTTCCTGGGGGTCGGTCCTCTTTGGCATATCTTGCAGCAATTTAAACTGCTTGGTCTCTTACACACTCTGTATGCTGTCGATGCTGTCAGCACCGGGGTGCATCTATTCCTGCCACAACATGTCTTCCGGTTTTGTGCACCCCCCCTGTTTGGGCAGCTTTGCGCAAAAGAATCATACCAAATATTTGAGAAAGAAGAGAGGGCCTCGTGCATGGGAAGACATCAAAATGAAAAGACTGATGCCCACATTTCGCCTCAAAGTGGAGAGTCGGTTAGTAACGGCGGTTAGTACCTTTGCCCATGGCTTCCTTCCTTGAGCTTCCTTGATGTGTCCATTTGTCTTTGAGTTTGTTGACCAGACCATGCCACTCTTGGATCACATTTGCCCAAGTTTGCTTTGTTTGATGCTTTTCCTAACAAGGTCTCACCGAGCACGACCAATTCGTGTCCGTGACAGTTTTTCCAGTTTGTTACTCGTACTTAGTATTTATCATTGCTTACTGTTCAATTGCACCCACCTTGTGGGATGTGATGTTGGCTAAACGTACTGGTTTGGAGTGACTTCTTGCACGATGTCAGCGTTTTTGCGATCCTCTTCACAGCTTTCTCGGATGGCTTTCAATAAGGATTGCAATTTTTTAGTTGTTTTTTTGTGTTGTGTTTAGGATCTTTTTTGTGGATCTGTTTCTTGCTGCTTGTCTTGCTTTTCATTGCTTCTCTATGATCTCTCCTGCTTTTCTTTTCTGTGTTTGTCTTGTTTTTCCTTACCTTTCGTTGTTTCTTTGTGAATCCTCTTTGTTTTCTTGCTTTTCCTGCTTCTTTTGCGCTTGGTTTGCTCATCCTAGCTGTTTCTCCTGCTTGGTCTTACTTTCCTTCTTCTTGTCTTTTTGTATCGTATTGATTCCCTGTCGTGATTCTTGTTTTCTTCTATGGTCTTTGTTGCTATGGCTTTTTGGTAGTTGTTTTTCAATCCTTGAGCTAGTGTTGCTTTAGTCGCGAGAGTGTCTGAGCGAAGGGTTCTTCAAAAAGAGCATCCAGAAGAGTCGAGGACAGACCTGAATCGATTGGAAGGCATCTTTGCTTCCCTCCTCCAGTGAACATCCCTTTAATTTCATCCTGTTTTCACGCTCTCTTTCACTCTCTCTCACCATCGCACAGCTCTTTTTACTTCACCGTTTTATCTTGCTGCAAGCATACCCTACGTACACCAGAGAAATCCTACACCTAACCGCTCTCGGGCCATCCGTCGTCTACTTCTTGCTTTATATCTGATTCTGGCTTTTGTGGCTGTTGGTGGACATGGAAAATTGCCTCCTGGACAGTTATCTCTTCTATGAACTGCTAGCATTTCCAGAAGGAACTGTAGAGGAACCACGGCCGCGCAAAAAATTCCCCAAGCGCAATGCTTTTCCAGTTCAACTGAAGGAAACATAGACATTCCGCGACCGCGCAAAAATTCCCCAAACGGAACGCAAAAGAATCCCCAAATAAAACCGCACCCTTTCAAAGGCCGCCGCTAGAGTTTCCTACTGTAGTGGATCCAGTTGTCACGTTGTTTGGATTTATGAGCAGACTTACGCGCCTGCTTAAATGAAGTCCCAGTGGTGGTGATGCGGAAAAATCAGAAGAAGTAGCCAACTAATTGAACATCCAGGTGGCGTAAGAAGGGCACCAGGCACCTCCACTTCTCTCACTATCAACGTCAATCAACCTAGTTGTCAGATGACATGAGTTAGCGCAATACAGTGGCATAGTCATAGCGGTTGACTTGTAGGTTCAGATGGAAGACTGGCATCCACACCCATAGCAAAAGGAACCTAATAATTGCGATGGCCCCCACCCTAGTAGCTTCTTGCTACTAGTAGCAATGGCCTCCACCCAAGTAGCGATGGCCTCCACCCTAGTAGCTTCTTGCTACTAGTAGCGACGGCCTGCAACCTAAGAGCGATGGCCTCCAACCTAGTAGCTTCTTGCTACTAGTAGTAATGGCCTCCACCCTAGTAATTAACGAAGGCCTCCAACCTAATTGCGATGGCCCCAAACCTAAGAGAGCGAGGGCCTCCAATGTAGTAGCTTCTTGCTACTAGTAGTCGTGGTATGAGGGCACTTTGGAAGCATGCACATCCTCAGGGCGTCGTCCTTTCCATCACTCTGGACTCTGGTGTCAGCCTCGTCAGTGCCTGAGCTAAAGACTCTGACAGGTAAAGGATGTGAAACGGACTAGTTTAATGAGAGTTTCAATGAACCATGATGATTTCAATTTCTGTGTCTTCATGGTACTCAGGCATCAATGAGAGTTTTGAGCAGAGGGTGCTTTACCTCACAGCAATGGCCAAGATGGCAATGGTCTCTCAGCATCTCACAGCACAGTGCCTCTTCCGGCGCGTGGATGCGCAGAGGAAAGCTAATGCGGCTAATGTTTGGTCAAAAAGGCACGCGATCGGTGCACGTGCGGTGGTTTGGGTTCACAATGTGACGCATATAACGCATATAAGGCACTTGTTACTAGAAGCGACGCACTTGTTGCTAGTAGCTTCTTGTTACTACTAGTAAGGCACTTGTTACTAGAAGCGATGCACTTGTTCCTACATATTATAGATTCATCGAAATTGACTCTGCAAAGGCGGAGCATCCAGTTGTTTCGGGGTTGAATGTTTTGTCGTGTAAAGTGGGCCAGACAATCAGGAAGTGACTGAGTGGATTTTACCAAAATGACAGGCAGGAGGAAGATCAATCTTCCTTCAGGACGAAGATGCTCATTGTCATTGCAATGATGTATTTCCAGTTGCCTGACCAGCCTGACCAACGTTTGCAGCGCAATCGGTTCTTTGGAATTGGACCGTGTGACTTGCGACCTCGCAGTTTTTTCAGGTGTTTTCCTTCATCCCTTCCTCCCTTGCTCCCTTGCTCCCTTCCTCCCTTCCTCCCTTCCTTCCTTTTGCTTGCTTGCTTGGTTGCTTGCTTGCTTGCTTCCTTGCTTCCTTGCTTCCTTCCTTCCTTCCTTCCTTCCTTCCTTCCCTTTCACAAATCCAGACAGCTCATCAGCTCCTCACAACTCCAAGAAATGACTTGGGGACTTAACATTTCTTGAGATATCTTGAGAAGACATCTCCGAGGCTCAACTTTGAGGACATGTTTGTGGATTTCGGATTTCTCATGATTTCTCCTTTGGGCATGTGGTAAACCATCTCAAAGTCTGAATACACACATCCAGTGTCAATCCATTTCATTTCCATCTACATGTCTCCTCCATCCCAACGACCAAGCAGAAATCCCCACGACCGAGATGCACTGCTCGTGCCACCAGGTTCGACGCGGCCATCGCCAAATGCCAAGCGGGTGAAGCTCGAGACCTGCAGGAGTGCGAAACGACCGTGAGCCGCGAACCGTGAGACCGTTCGACGCATCGGGTTGGAGATGAGCCATGCACCGAGCTAATTGGGGCAGCTATAGAGACTAGTAATATAGGGATATCTGAGGGGATTCCGAGTGTAAAGGCACCCTTAATTCAAGGTGCTTATTTTGGGGGTGTGTTTTTCGACACCAGTGCTCGTCACGCCTGTCTTGGATAGGCATCGGTTCTCTTGGAGGGATGCTCCACACATGTCAGGAGCGTTGCCAGCTACGGCGTTTGCGCGAAGCCGGGCAGGTAGAGTTTGAGGAGGCAGAGGCGGGGGTGTGAGATTTGTTGTACAACAGTAAGCGGCATAAACATACCAAATTAGATTCTTAATTAGCATACGACCATCATTCATTGAACTTCTTTAGTTGGTCCGTGCACCGAGGCTGCCTCGTGACTCGTGTTGGTTGTTGGATGGATAATGGGCTTGTATGGGGATTCTCAACCCTCCAAACAGGCATGTCTGTGTGGGTTGGGGGTTGAGGATCTCAGTCAAAAATTGTGGAGGTGATCGAAAAAGAATACCAAAGAACTCGGGATGATCTCAAGCTTTTCTTCCTGACTGTCAGAATGCTTAAAGAGGACAAACTGGATGTCGGCGATTGTTCAGACATGTTAAGAACTCGTATTGCATGCAGATGAGGCTTGGAGATGCTTGGAGCCTTGATGTGTTGTGTTCACGTCACACTGATCCGACCGCGTATAGACGCGCCTTCTTCCAGGTCTGCTTTCATCCAACGTGCCCCGGGAGCGAGACTGAGATCATTGATCGCTTGGAATCATGGTACAGCTACTGCCTCTCGAAATGAACAAACATACAATGTTGCAATGTTGCTGCCCATACTTGGGCATGACATTGCCATACAATCGCTCGGCATCAAAGTGACAAGCCGAAAGCCGAGAAGTTTCCAAGTCATGGTTTTTCCAGGAAGACAAATGACAACAATTGTAGAATCAATGCTTCCAAATACCAAATAATTGCAAATTTCTTCTACAAACAGGTGGGGCCTCCAAAACATTGTTTAACGCACCCACGAACAGATTTTGGTTCATCTCAACGAAAAAACTCTATGCGGTGATTGATCAGAACGCTGCCCACCAGCATGCCATGGTCGAGCCGGAGCTCCAGCGCCAAAGAGCAACGTGGCAGCGCCGCAGGCCTACAGCTGCACAGCTGCAGGGAGGACGAAGTGATTGGGTCAAGCAGGGGGAAGCTTCTTGTTCAGTTGCTGGTCAACTTGCGGATCTTTGATGTGCTCCTTGTTCAGAGAGGGCCCCAGATGGTTTAGAAGACTGTTCCAAAAACTGAAACCCGAGAGCTTTTCTTTCAGTCCAGCTGGAGTCCAGCTGGAGTGGAGTGGATTTTTCGATCACACTTGGAGGTCGTAGGCCTGGGCCTTGGTCTGAAATCCGTCGGCACAGCCTGCAGAGGTTCCTGGCCAAGCCGCCAGGTGCTGGCACCAAAGCACCCTGGCCTTTGTTGCTTTTTCTGCATGGTGCTGGTGAACGATACTCGGCTGCCTTATGCCACAGGCCTAGCCTATGCTACCTTGATTCATCAATTCATGATACCTTCGATTCCTTGGGGCCCTAGCCTATGCTTCACGCGTGGAAGGCTTGAAGAATGGGCAGGAAGAATTCGCACATCACAGGACTTCTTCTTGTGAACATGAAGATAATGAAGACTCCCTCCGTTGGAATCGGTGAAGAGGGTCTAAGGGCACTTAGACCAACTGAAAGAATTGCTCAGCACCTGAGATGCCACTCTTCTTCCATGCTTTCCTTTCTTCTCGAAGACCATTCATCCTAATCTAAGTGGAGAACACACCAACTTACCAACTCCAGACCAACTCCAGATTCCTGCCACCTGTCGTTTTTGCGTTCGCCTAGGAGGTCATGAGGATGGCAGAGATTTAGGGAAGGTCCGCTTGAACGGCCCATGGGCTGCCAGTGGCATTCAACGCTTCTTCCTGGTGGCACCACAATGCCCTGAGGACCGAGGTGTTTGGAATAAACGGATCACAATGCCCACTGAGGTGGCTCAGACAAAAGGAATCAACGGATCACAATGTTTACCCAATGCCCTGAGTGCTGGCTCTCATAATTAGAAGAAAGGGATAGACATGGATCACAATCACATGCATGCTGCATGTTGTTGTGATCCATTGGATTTCCTGCAATGCGGGTACGGTATGTCTGTTTGACTTGACACATGCATGTTGTTTAATCATTGCCATTTGTTCACCCTGTGGAGGACGCCGTGTGGCCAGCCTTGGCCGAGCAAGTGGTTGCCCTTACCCGAGAGGACGGAGCTGAGCTACTAGCACAGCTACAAGCGACTCATGTCCATAGCGACTCTGACTCAGTCTTCAGTTTCACTGTTCTCCTTGAAAGTGAAAAACGAGTCAGAAACTTGCGAAGCAAGGATTAATGAGAGATGTCTTGCCGTCTTGCCACAGATTGTGGACTGTTTGACCTTTTATGTAAAAGTTTAAAACCCAATCCGGCTTTTCGTCTTCACGGCTTGGGCAGGTTCTTGAAACCTTTAAGCTGGATGCTTCCAGGCGGGAATGCCACGCTTGCGCTTGTCAAGCCAAGCTTCAGGTGACGAAAGACCAGTGGTGTATCATGGTTCATCAGATGTCCATATTCATGTACAGGAACGGACTTTGCATGCTTTCGTCGACGAAATGCGTCTCGTTCTTTCATTGTTGTGCTTGAACCGACGTGCTCGAACTGCGGGGTGCTGTTTGGTCACCGCTTCATTTATCTCACTTTGCTCCAAAGCTTCAGCAATTGAACTTGCCCCTCTAGATTTTTTGGTGGGATTCCAAAAGGACCCATGAATCAGTCATGAATCCCAACATGGAACATGGGGACAAGGGTCATGTGGAGCCTGCAATGAGGGATCCTAATGAATCCTAGCATGTCCCCCTTCACTAAGCAAGCAAAAGACTGTCACGAATGAAACGCGTCAATATTATTCAATATTTGTGTTTTTCAAAAGAATATGATTCCAGTGTCTATTCTAGTAGTAGAAGTTATTGTACTGGTCGCCAACCACCTCAACAAACGTGAGCAGTAGAGCAGTAGCCTGCTCTACTCCGCCGCCTTCCGCGAAAGCGCGCCGCGTTCCGCGGTACTTCAGGTGCTATGTGACCGGCCTCAGCATGGGCGGCTTCGGCGCCTGGGCCGCTGCCTCTCTGGCGCCCACGCTTTACACCGCTTTGACGCCTGGTTTCGGAAAAAGGATGGAGAAAGGGTTGAGGAGTTGAGGGCCTGTTGATTCAGGGGTGTTTGGAGGTTCTGTGAGGTTCTCAACGGTTTCGCGCTTTTTGGGAATCTACTTTCTCTCGTTCGGAAGAGACACGACTGGACTGAGTGAAGGAGTGAAGGAGTTTGCCACTTATCGTGAAACACTGGAGCAGCTGTGCAACGTTTTCCTGCTTGAGAAGCCGTCTTGGGGTGCCACTTTTTGATCCCATTCTTTGACTTGGGGTGCCAGTCGTGTAGGAGGTCTTTTCGACGGAGAGCTGCAAGACCTGTGCGAACTGCCAGGAATATGAGCAACGGAATATCAGAAGGTCTTTGGGCCCCTTCAATCCCTTTCGACGGGGCCTACACGAAAAAAGACATCCAAAGACCTTCCTACTTTATCCTATCCCTTTTCTTCATGTCTTTCGATTCGATGTCTTTGACCAGGAACGCAAATTGCAAGACTCTGTGTCTTGGCGTCGACCCGGTTTCGCCCAGGGTGGCTGTGTGTGGAGGCTTCACTCGACCGCTTCCGCCGGGGCCTCGGTTCCGAAACACCCCGAAGCGCCGGCCACGCGCTGTCCGGCCCGCTCGTGGACAGCTCGACAGGAGGGACACGAGTCTCAATGCGATGCTGCAACTGGCCAAAGTGGCTCCCAAAGAGGAGGACCTTGAGAAGTTGAGATGCGTGGCTGAAGGTAGAGCGGGTAGAGGTGGAGGTGGGCAAATTGTATTAAACAACGGGAATCATTGGACACAAAACTTCGAAACATTCTTCATGGATGTTGGACGCATGTGAAAGCGCAAAACGAAGAGATGGCTTGTTGCTTGCCATGATGCATCCACACCATTGTACTTGGATCTGCTTTGATGTGCTTTGTAGGTCCTTACAGATGATCAGTCATCCTTGATGCGGTCATGACACTTTTCTGCCTTGCCGTGTTCAAGAACTTGTCCAGGATGGTCTTTTCGGGTGCTTGGGGGCTTGGGGGTCGGGCACTGGATCCCAGCTTCCACTTGTACCAAGGAGAACTTCCCGTTTGGCTCTTCCATGGCTTGAAGGAGCGCCAAGGGCAGTGGATCCACGAATGAAGTGATGGTTGGTCTGTGAAGTGCTTCGGTACTTAGTCACTCGTGTTCTTTGTCAAGAATCGTTTGATGTCTTCGTTCTAGGCTCCAAACCTGCCAAAAATCCATGTCCACGACCAGGCCGCATGGCCCACCCCAGAACACCAATGCGTGCAACACCTTGAGTAAGGTCATGAGGGCTCTTAGGGACGGCGAGACTCCTCAAGAACACCTGGTCATCGGCGGACAAGATCGCCGTCGTCTTGGCAGGACAAGATCGTGGATCCCGACGGTTCTCTGCTTCTCTATGAAGCCTTGGGAGGCAAAGCTCGCGGGCGTGCAAAGCTGAAGTTGACCAAGTACGAGGACAGAGAACATAGACGGTCATGTCAGCCCCTGAGTCTGTGCCAAGTACATCACCACGAATGCCAGCTTTCCAGAGCGAGAGAAAGCGAGCTCCCTTGAGGTTTGGAAAGGTTTGGATATGGTTGGCTGGATTTGGATGCTGGGAGAGAGGTACACATGGTAGGCACAGAATTGTCCTCCCCACTCTAGTCAGGCTGTGACACAGGCTGTGATACATTCGAAGAAAAAAACACCTCCTGGCATGACCATCCTGCCAGGACCTGGGACATACGGTCTGGACGAGCGCCTACAAGACGTCAGAGCTGTTTCCCTGGCTGCTTCGACAGAGGCGTGGCAAGCCTGGAGGCGTGGAGAGTAGCGGCCATTTGTTCGTTTCAGTGATCCTCGAAGTAACTGATACCTGGTGCTAACCGAGAAATCAAGGGCGTCAAGACCAAGGACTAGACACAAAAGCTGAAAAATTGCTTTGTCTGCTTTTGAAGGCAAGAATGCCAACCTCTTCTTGCAACCAGCAAGATCGCAACAAACACCTGATTCCAGCAGTCGTAAAGCCGTTTCAAGTTCTGATCATTCCGCATTGGTTCCTTTTTTGATATCCTTTTTGGCATAGCGATTTGGTGCTGATCCACTTGTTTGGCAGGTGCAAAGGCGTCCGCCGACCCCGTGGCAGCGCCACACGGCGCGTCCGAGGATGGCGCAGCATCCGCGGGTTCCGCGGAGCTTCCGGCGAAGCTTTTGCAGCTCCTGGAACGAGGACCGGAGGCGCAGGGGGGCCGTAGATCCGGGCTCTGCCCGATTCGGGGGGAGTCATTCTTGGGGCCGATGGCCAAAGCTCCGGGGTTTTCCACTCAAACAATCGAACAGATCATTCAGAGACTCAGAAGATCCGATAAGCATGAGACCGGTCATGGTCAAACTGACCTGTAACAGGACCTGTAAACAATGACTATTTTCTAATGCATTCTAATGCCTTTACTCGCATAAACTATCATAAACTCGGCCCTTTGACATTCTGTGCTGAACTGCGGCAATCGAGACTTCGTTCAGCGTTTTCAGATCAATTGACTCACCATGTCCATGTGACGCCGATCTTGTGACCTCACAGGTCGTTGCCCATGCCCCAGAACCGCTCGCCTTTGCGTTCCGACTGCATTGGACGTTTCTCGTTTTGTTTCTTTCACATGCCACCCTGTGAGTTCCTCGCTTCAATTCGATTGCTCCAGGCCCAGGAGAAAGCGAATTCGAACTCGCATGCGAAAGAGTCGCTCGGATGTGGATTCCAACTCGCTCAGGATGAAGAGTGGGATGAGTGGGATGAATTGCAGCCCCAAGATTTGGATGCTGCTTCCGATGCGTCAGATGCTCCCATTGAAAGCTTTTCGGTTGCATGCAGCAGTGCAATGAGTGCAAAACCATGCATTTTGGCAGACACACCTGAAGGATGCAGAACCATGCATTAAACCAATGTGAGATTCTGTGAGATCCTTTTTCAACATCTTCAGCATGATCCCTGTTAGTACCCGATGATCATCCAATTCCAAGGCCTCAAAGTGACTCAGCCAACAGCAGCTGAACTGCGTGAAGAAGCGCGCCGCACTTTGCAGCTTGGAGGATTTAAAGCAATGGAAGCTTTCCGGAAAAGGCAAAAGTCATTGATCATATTTCCCATAGACATGGAGAAGTGCATACTTCCATATACTTCCATTATATAAACCTTTTTGTGGTTAGGTGTCTTTTTTGTTGAATCACTGTGAATAATCATGCAGAAGGAAGTGTAAAAGTCCGTGGCGGTGACCTGCCATGTAGCTACAAATGAGGTCTATGCTGCAGCAACTGCACCCCATCGCGCAGATGAGAGGAGTGAAGCGGAAAAGGATCTCGAGAAGGAGTCGCTTTAAGTCTCAGATGCGAATGAACAATCAGATCTTTTTTCTCAGAGGGGTGGCTCATGCGGAAGAGGTTCTTCTTATTGTTGAGGGAGCACGTTTCAAGCACCCCAAGCATCAAACACAGCCTGAAATGCTAGAGTGCATTGAGCTGCCTTCTAGGCAATGACAACACCCCCGGAATAAAGGAGTCCTTCCCGACCTACAGTGAGAGAGACGTTGTACGGACCTGTTAAGAGGTACAAGCGGGTGAAAGCAAGTGAATCTGATGTAAAACAAGGTGCGGGCCTCAATTGGCCTCTTTGCGTTTAGCTCCTGTTCAGGTCGTAACGAGGGGCACATCAAGTTTCAGATTGGACAGTGCCCAATGAGCTTCTTTTGTCTCTGAAGATTCCTTTGGACCTTTTGGGAAGTTGATGGACATTCTAAGGCATTCCGCGCTTTGATTTGGAACAGCCGCGAATGCCTGGATGGTCGGACAAGCCCAGGGTGTCCAAAGCAACGAGCACCGCCACCGGTCCTGCCGGGGCCGTTTTGGCCGATCTGAGGTGCGACCGCATCATGTGGCGGCGGGGAGCTGATGTAGAGGCCCAAAGAAGACGGAGAAGAACAACTTGCTGCAGTTTTTATCTCTTTTGTTCTTTTGAACTACTACCAATATAGATACCAATAGGCGCACGATTCTTCCTTTCAGAGATTTAATAACTTGAGGTACGAATCGTAGCAGCATTTGATGCCAACGAAAACATGTGGGACTCTTGTGGAGAGTTCTTTCTGTCAGACCTGTGACATCTCTCCAGATGCCACTTCTGTCGGACCTGAGATGCTGCAGGTGAAGGTCCTTGACTATTCGGCCATCGAGTGCGTCTCTCAGAGTCAAGCGTGTCGGAGCGTGGCAACATATACTGTACAGCATCATAGGACAGGGGTTTTGTTGAATGAACTTCAAACCGCAACCCGCCATTTTTGTTTCTTGATCCTTTTGAGAGGAAGACACAACATCCATGAAGCTCCCATGATGCCACCCCTGACGTTCAGGGCAGCAGATCATTCAGATCATCGGCCTGTTTATGCTGCCTTTGCACCCAGTGTGTTGCTTGAGCGTTCGTTCATATTCTTTCTATTTTGGACATGTCGCACGTGTCTGACATTTCGCTTGGATGTCGCATGTGACTGACCTGTGTTGAGGTCATAGAAGCCCGCCCAGCAGGATGAGTCGGACCAAAAAGCACTTTGTTGTGCAGCCATGGGATGTTGTTGGTTTCCTTTTTGCCATGATCATCGTTCGACAGAAGCTGGTTTCCTTTTGCACGTTGTTTGAGGTCTATTTAGGGTATATAGCTTCTTTTTTCAGCTTAAAAAGTTGATCCCTCGCCTTCAAGTCGAGGGATTTTCCTTGTGCCCTCATGGTGTATTTCAGTTGCTGCTAAGCCAACCTTCATTGACTGTCACGAGCTGTGGCTCCAGCGCAAGCGCAGTGGGAGACCGTTACGCGAACCCCTCAAAGAGGCCACTCAGTGGGCATGTGAAGAGAATCATGACTTGATTTTTCATATGTTCATCATTGATACAATGACAATTATGGCACTCCATGTTGTTTATTGTTGAGACTCATGTACTAGTAATGGTATTCCTCAATTTTGCTGGCACATCCCACTTGACAGCTTCTTTGGCAGGCTCGCTGGGGCCTTTGTACATGCAGATCCTTGTGCTAAAGGCAGGTAGTTTGGCTTCTCTTTGCTAACATTTGATCATTTGACGAATTGATGAACACTTGCTGGGGATTCCCAAGTATTATTGCAAGGGAAGGGCTTGTTGTGAGCTGTACAAGTTAGGAGATTTGGTGAAAAACCTTGGCCCTCCCCAAACTGGCATTCAGCCTGAAGCCACAGGCGCAATGACGGGCGATGGGAAGCGGGATGTCAAGCAAGGCATCATGGTCCGGGAACTCAGCCTTTCATCTGAAATGATATGCAAATGATCCAAATCCATGAGAACATCAGTGGAACAAAGGGTCTGAGCTCCGCTACTCCAGGTGCCTTATGACGGTCAGCTGGCGGAAGCGTACGCCACCTGGAGAGCCTTGTGAGCCAGTGACTTTCATGTGTACCGGGGGGAAGAAGATGTGAAAGTGATGTGAGACGTTTTACCATGTTTCTTTGGTTGCGAAGTGCTACTGTCGCACCAAAGGCTTCGCAAACCACTTCTGGATGTGACTGCGGGCTGTACGCACCGATCATGAAACCTTCATGGTTCGCACAGGGACGATGAGACGAGCAGCATCGAGACACCCAATGCGAAGAGGGAAAGAATAAGAGGCACCAACTGTTGCATGCTGCTGATCGCTGACTGAAGGGCATGTTGCAAAAGTGGCAGCTTGAGAGTCAGAGTCTTAGATGATTCTAAGTACATCGACATAGTAAGTCACAAGAGGTCTTCCTGGATGAGGCATTCTGCATTCACGACCTGTCATGGCGTCGCAAAAACAAGCCCTCTGACAGGTGAAAACATCTCGTTATGCCGGGCTCCCGAAGTGAAGCTTCTGAAACCCTCCGAGTCGTCGTTCGCTCCGAGTCGTTCGTGTCGGTCATGAAATCGTCGGTTGAATCTCGCTGGGGACTCAGGACAGTTGAGACCCGTCCGTGTTCAGGACCCATCCGACCCGTCCAAGTCGACGCAAAAAGAGACGCAACATCGCCCATCCCAACATTCAAGGTGGGTCCATCACCGAGTTTTTCCTCTTTCTTTTGACCTTCTCTTTGGCGATGCTGGTCAATCAGTTCGCACCTCAGAAATAGGGCAGTGACCGCAGGTGACCGCAGGACCGGGGGTGTTTGTTTTGCCGAGGTCTGTGGCGACATCGCGACTTAGTGATCACATCCGGATGGTCTGCCCAGACACGTTGGGTGGAGGTCACATGAGGTCACTATGTCATGTTTGGAGATTTTTTTTGATCAAGATGATGCATCACGGTCTCATATCCCTACACAAAGGGATGAAAGGGGACATGTTGAATTTTTGTCTCATGTGTTTTCCATTTCTTTGTTCTGCTGAACCAGTGCCCAAGCGTTGGTTGCATGCTGCGGCGCGTGCGACACCAAGCCGCGCCGCGCACCAGCCGCGCCGCGCCGACCGCGCCAGAAGCTGAATCCGACGGTGCATCCCATCACCAGAATTACCGACGTGAACACGCTCTATGACTACCTCGAAGAGGCACTCCACGTCGTACGTGGACTGGGGATGCAAAACACCGTACCTAAACTGAAGGATTTGTTGGGCTTGCAACTTGTCCTTTTTCGGGATGTATACAAATCAGGAGGAATACCCAATCCCGCTTGGTGACAGTAGGTCATTTCTGAAGTTAATTGATATAGTCATGGCTTGTGGAATCGTGTATCACCACAATAACTACCTGCCGCAAGTGCGCGCGACAACTCGTTGATCAGAACGCTAACGCTTGCAAGCACGATTCTTCAATGGAAAGATTAGCACAAGATAACATCCTACATCATCCTACTATTTATATTTATAATATACAGATACAGCTTAAATACAATAGTAGGATCTATTAGCACTATTTATATAATTTGTAATAGATACACATTAAAGGGTGCCAAATGATACAGTGCAATACATTGTGAGTTGCACCCGTTGATGCGACAATACCTCCCTTGGCGGAATGTGAGCGGCTCATGGCTGTCGACATGTGGCCGAAGGCTTCTGTGGCTCGCTTCTCAGCCAGGTATTCATTCCAGCGATTTACCAGAACACCACTGATATCCAACTTGCAGAGAGTATCTCTCCGTGGCTCGGCGAGGATTCAGAGCTCCCAACGAGGATTCAGAGCACAACAGTTCATCTAAATCTCAGATCAACCCCTGCATCGATTGGCAGATTCCAGCAGCAGCATGTCCGAAAATTGCTTTTGTCTTTTATTGCGAACAGTTCCTCTATGAAGTTCAAAACTTCTTGAGGGGTATCAGATACAGGTGGATCTTGAATTCGATGTCGAGGCACTTGAGACCCATCGACATCGCCAATCGGTTGCTAGGGACCGTGCGGTTGCGACAGGCGCGGAAACCAGGTGATGGTGCCCCTGATGGAAAGGTATTGAGAGGTATTGAAAGGTTTAGGAATGGCCTCCAACCTAGAAGCGATGGCCTCCAACGCCTCCAACCTAACTATAGCAATGTATTGAAAGGTTTCGGACCGATCGTCCGAATCGCAAAAGCCTCTTTGTTCTACCAAAACAGGCCGCTTCCGGGTCCGAAGGCTCCTTCGGTCCCAAGAGCAAGAAAGCAAGTCTCACAACAGTGTCTTGTGGCTTGGTTTGTGTTGTCCGCACTTGCTTCGATCGATCTCACATGGAGTGTGATTCACATGACAGCGGAGACAGGTGCGCGTGAACCTCCAGGAGAACTGCCAAGTCCTTCCGCTCTTCGAGCAGTACACCGCCACGCCCCCACAGCTTCATGATGACCTTCTATGACCTTCATGATGACCTTGTGAGTGCTTCATAAGTTTTACCGCAATTCAGGTGTCCTGCTATCCCAACTACGCGCCAGGCAGATGGTTGTGTAACTTCGAGATAGCATGGGAACCATATTCAATTGATGTCACAATATGTCACATGTCGTCACATGTGTAGCTTTTCTGCAGTTTCAGTTGTTTCCATGCACGGCTTCTACTGCTTGTGGCCGTGATTGTCCCAGGAACCGGCAGCACGACGGCCTTCGGACCCCAGCAGAGGCAGGGGCAAGCAGTGGGGGGCAACCAGTGAGGTGCTTGCAGTTATGCATTGTTATGCAGGCCTAAGCGCCAGTTCACACAGAAGTTCTATCAGAATCCTAGAAGTGTAGCACAAAGTGTACACAGTTCACACCAAGTCCAGTGGCATTGTTGACATGTGGGCTTCGAAGCACATCCGTGCACGCTTGCAAGATGGGCCCCAAGAGTTTTGTGTCTGATCAGGTTTACCTATTCAGAAGATGTCTCTGGCATTGACTACGAGGGTTCCCTGGGAGCGTGCCCCTGAACACTGCCATCACGAGCAAAAAGCAGCTCTGATGGAGCAAGACATGCGTTTTTTGCATGCTTTTTTGATTTGTCTTGCCGAGTGTTTGCGAGTTTGCATGGTTTGGTGGTTCAGTTGCCCACCAAAACTCACAACAAGACACATGCGGCAGCCGCCCAGTGTCAGGATCGAAGGTTCCCAATCCCCTCAACCGTCTAACATCCACGATGAAGTCTTCCAAGTACAACCAAACCAGCCCACGCCACCCAAGCCAGCAAGTGCCCGCGTTCTCGGTGCCAAGGGCGCCTGTGTGCCACGGTGTCAGACTGCGCGACTGCCGCGCGAGGTACACTCCGCATGGCTTCATGCAACTCTTACCCTCCAATGCCACACAAGCCTCGCAGCAGATCCAACAGCTACGGATTGATGTCCGGGTTCCTGAGTTGGACCGTTGGACGGCACACAGGTTTACAGGACGGCATACCGGGTCTCTGGAAAGAGGTCCGGAAACAGTGAGAGTTGAAAAAGAACATTGACGTTTAGGGCAGTCTACTGGTTTGGTTCATGCTTAGCTTGTATAACTTCTATGTTTCCCAAAGCTTTATCACTTGCATGATGGACTTGCTGACACATTTGCATCGATGTGTCTCACGCGTCGTCCAAATGACTCGGCAGGGCTTCTTAGACGCCGCCACCCGGGCGTTCTTCGCAGAGTTCAACATTTGGAACTCCAACGTCGGCTTGTGCGCAAAAACCAAGTGATTTCGGTGACATGACCTGACGGTTTGGAAATGTTTGGAAACCTCACTTCTTCGCCAATTGAACACAGGCGTTTTACTTTTCTGCCAATTTCCATACTTCCAGTTGCCTTCCGAACCGCTTTCAGAGCCACAGTGGTGCCTCCGTGCTGGTTGCCATCGGTTGCCGGCGCTGGTACCGTGAGATCGAGGTACGCAGTGGTGAACTTTGTCGTCGAGTTCGGAGCGAGTGGTGGCACTGCTCAAGAGGACCGATCGAGTGATGTCTCGAATTGAAAGGGGTGTCAGCGACCGCCGGCGAAGCTATGCGAGTGCCTGCCATTGTCAATGAGCATCTAATGAACAGATGCAACGGGCAGGGGCATTGCTACTAGTAACAGGGCATCACTACTAGTAAATAGTAACAAGTAGCGATGCCTGGTCCCCTTTATACTCATTCATTTGTGTTCCAAGTGTTCCAAGCTGTCCGCAGATTGAAATTACGACCATGACCGAGCGCGTGCTCGTTGGAGCCTTAGATGCCGCGTTTTGGAGCGAGGGTCTGACCCAGTTGCTTGAGGTGTTTGTGCAATTTTGTGTATATATGTGTTGGCCGTTTTGAACCTCCAAACCAAGTCTTTTGCTTGGACGTGCCATAGCATCTCTAAAGCAAGGTACCCATCCTGAATCATATCATGAATCATCGTCAAATTCTTTCACCGAGACCGTGGGTGGCTTGGGAACTGGTATGGACTGGCACGGTCCTCAGACCATGCAGACCACTGCAAGTGCTAAGAAACACTGCGGACCACTGCGGAGGTTTGCATTTGTGCTGCTCATTTTGGTGATGGTCTTTGTGGTCCAATTCATCATCGAGGAGATGCTACAGCTTCAAAGGCTGCTTTCATGGCTTTGTACCTTTGCAACCAAAAAAAACACAACTGCAAGATGAGACCAAAAAATATCCGGAGTACAAGAACAACGACTCGTGGTGGATGCTACGCGCGCAGATGGAGTATTCGCAGATGCCTCTTGAAGCTTTGCATCGCTTTCAGGAGGTGCAGGAGCTTTATCAAAGCTGGCGAACCTACTTCTTTGTGAGCATCTTAGGGTCCTAGACTAGTGACTAGTAGTATATGCAAAAGACCGGATTGTGGCATGGGGTGGTCACGGTACATCAAGGCCTGAATGTGTGTCCAGAGCAGAGAGGTGTAAGTGTACCTTGAGCTCAGGATGCTTGGAACCTGTTAGATTGGGTTTGACCCTCAATGCTTGCAGAAAACATGTTACTGCACCGACTGTATGTATTTCATGTCAGTTCATTGTATTTCTCAGTTCTACTAGACTCAGCAACAAGCCAGTGGCTGACTTTTCTGTGCCACCACGTCAAGTGCTTTTTTAGGCCAACATGATCTTGCTTCTCGTGGGCTTCACCATGCGCATGCTCCTCTTCTCGGACGTGCGCTCGGCGATGACCAAGCAGTTGAGTTCGATCTGTGCCGAATCGATGCAGTCTGGACACACGTTGGATGATCTCCGGATGGACATGATTGAAGTGGGAGCCTCCTCCGATGTGTGGTCTTGTTTGTGCATGGTCTGACCGCTGAGACCGCTGCGTTTCCGAAACGTGCATGGTCTCAAGTCGGCATTTGGTTGCTCTTCTTTTGCCAGGCTGCCAATGCGAATGTCGGCATCGAGCAGCTGTCCAATAAGGCTTTTTGGTTGGTGGTACAGCGAACCAGATGCGCCACAATCCCTCAAGCACAGGCATAGGATGGCATAGGTCCATAGGAGACGTCCAGTCTCAAGAGTCGTGAGGGGTGCAGCTCGAGACATTTGCACCAAGCTCCTAGTAGCGAACATTGCTTCTAGTAGTATGGACAGGCGCTCCTAGTAAGTAGCGTCCTTGCTCCTAGTAGCGATGCCCTTTGCTCCCAGTAGCTTCTTATTAAGATTCTCCTTTTTGGCCGAATCGCCAGGAATCTTTTCAGAATATATCAGCCTTAGCTGCGGCCGCGACCACGGTTTGGAGCTTGAATCTGAAGCCAGTGCAAGATGTGAGAACCGTGGCACTCACATCTGAAAATGCGCTTTGTTCTGGTAAGAGGATATTGCAACAGAAATACCCCTGAACGAATTTCAACTCTGCTGTCGCTTGGAAAGGATGACACCTAAGGGCAACAAATCAGCCTTCATATATATATATATATATTATATTATATTATATATATCCAGAAGGTCACTGTTCACGTGCTTGGCCACTCCTGACACGACTAGTGAACTAGCTGAAGACTTTAAGGTTCGTGTCCTCAACGCCTTCAATTGCGCATGAGACCTAGCCGATGTCTGGAGCTGCTCAAACCAGCTCAGATTCGGTAGCTCATCTCTGTAAAAAAGCAAGAAACATTTCGAAGAAGTCAAAATCGGAAGGTGTTTCCCTTGAATCCTGCTATACTTATCCCAGTATATCCCAGTTTATTCCAGTTTTGCCTGCTTTGTCAGGTTTTACTTTGGGGCAAGGTCACGAAGTATTTGCGGCACTTGCCTCTAGTGAAGGCGGGGTTGCGCCAGCAAGCTTGGACGATCCTCGGTGTGTCGTTTGGCAAACGGATTTTGTTTCCTCATTCGACTCATATTCTTTCTGGTCCAAACAAACAACAATGACCCTGAGATACTTGGGATTCGGACGCCGGACGCCAATGTTCTGGCCGCCTGGCCTTTTTTTGTCCTGTCTACCAATGGTTCATTGGTAGTGACAGCAGAAGCAAGTAATTTTGTATGAGTATAGTGACAGCAAGCTCAGTCTCGCGAATGAGACCAACGATCTCACTGGAGAATGCAGGGCTTGATCCGCACCGTGTGGGATGCTTTTGACTTGTCAAGCTCTCAGTTATCCTGAGTGTGGGTGGTGGCATAGTCTTGAAAGCAACATGGACGACATCGACGTCGATTGTATAAGTTCCCTCCATGTTCATGCTGAAAAGCTTTGGAAGCTAGATCAAACAAATCACTCCAACTCTGACAATTCCTACCGAAAACAGTTGATTTCAGCTAGATTAGTCAATCACTGAGGTTCTTGCCGTTTCTCATCATGTTTTGCGTGGGCATGGTGGGCTTCGTGATGGCATTCAACGTAGGCAGCTTTCGGGAGCCTGGGACATCTTTCTGGCGTTTGGTTTCTTGCTCATGCCAGCCCAGGGTCCGCCTTCTTTTAGCCTTTCTCACGAAGAAATATTCCTCATGAAGAAGTACGTTTGTCATCGTTTCTCTATCACATCCTCACGGTCAACAGGCTTTGGGGACAAAGTGGCCGAGCTCTCCAATTTCTCAACCTCGGCGGTGTATTTGTGGAGCACCGAGTGGTTGGAAGAACTTCGACAATTCGACTTCTTGCAAGGCATAGGACATGTGGATATCCATTTTGGGATACCCACTTGGAGATCGGAGGGGAACTTTGAGCAGTTCTTGAAGAGTCTGATTTGTCCGCAGGGCATAGTATAGTACATTCACTGTGGATTCACTGTGGGTGTTCACTGGAATCATGGAGATTCCAAGGTGTAGGGCCTTCCTAAAGGATGTGCAGCTGATGCCCGTGTGCGCCTACACAGCGGTGCCGTGTTTCATGAGGATATCGATCGGCAGCATGGAGCAACATCGAGCAGCATCGCACGTGACGGACGCGATGGGAAGGGGTGTTCGGACCCACCCACCAAGTGGTGGGACTCTCTCTCTCTCTCTATGTTCACACACAATCGAGGTTCCCTGGTTTGCGGTCGGGGGGGGGGCTCCTTTCCGAGCTTCGAAGCTCTGGGTGGATCGAAGTGGAGAGCGAGCGCTGCGAACTCGGAAGCTGGTTCGCGAAGAGCGAGCTCCGCGCTGCGCTGCGAACACGGCAGAGGTATGACATTACTCCACTCTTTGGGGCCGGTTTGATTCTGCTTTTCTACTTGAACATGATTGCTGTTCGGCGCCCAGCCCGCTTGCGATTCAGAGAAGGCTTAGAGGAGAAGTTCGGTGAGAGGGTAGTCCCTCTCACTGCACGTACTTTCGCCACGAAGTCATATCGGAGATGAGATGCAAGCTGAGTTACAGAGTGTTTGAGATCGGTTCATCCGCAACATCTTGGCCCCAGTCATGCCTCATGACTCATGAGTACATCATGACAAAGTCATGTTTTTGGAGGCGGAATGCATGGGAAGAATGGGATGAGGAGAAAGAACGAAATATAACTTAGGCTTAGGCATGCTTAGGCATCAAGCCATATGGAGCCCCCCCCCGAGCCGCCAATGTTCTGGAAAACCTCAGGGTTTCTACGAGTTCTGAACCGGTTCCCGGAGAGACCGGTCTACGTCGAGTCTACGTGTCTAAACGGTGCCTTTGGGCCCTTGACAGCTGAGCCTAAACATTGCGGCACATGGATATATGGAATACCGGTCCATGAACCAAAACTGAGTCATGCGTTAGGCTTGAGAACGTTCCATTTCCATTCATTCCACCAATTTTCGGCCTGCCAGCTGCTATGCCACTTGGAGAAGCTTAGCGACTCGCGTGGAGTCGGGGCATGTGAAGCTTGAGTGCTTGTGGGCTTGGTAGATCATGACAACTGTGATTATGACGAATGTTGGTGCAGATGCAGATGGGGCTGAGCATGCTGGGGCCTTTTAGGATTGGGTCTATTGGGGCTGGGCCCGCGAACTTCTCGGTGGACAAGGCCATATATTCCTCTACTGCTTATTTGCAGGACAAGGTAGCTCAAGTGACATCGCGGCCGGGGAACTTTCCGGAGTATGTCAGTTGGGTGCACGGCTACTCGAGATTTATTGGTGAGACTGGATAGATGGTGGGCGCCCTTGGTAATATACTCGTAGCATCTCGTAGCTGGAAATAATGAAGAAGACATGGACCAAACGTGATGGTGGACTTTCCAGTATCTCCAAAGTGGCAACGGGGGGAATTCCAACTTAGACTTGATTTGAACCTCATGTGTGTCATGAGGTAGTAGTTATCAAAACATGTAGGAGCAGAGGCCTGACTACATGGGTTTGGAACCTCCAGGTGATCGAGCGATTGGCCTCCAAGGTTGCAGCACCTGGCCGCGGATCTGCTGGTTGAGATCCTGTCCTACATCACCCACGAGTCTCAAGGCTTAACCTCCTTCGGTCGGGAACTAAGACGACCGAGGCATAGTGAACGGACCGATGGACGGCGTTCGACTCCTGCGCGTGCGCGTGCGCTACCAGGTGCTCTTTGCCAAAAGGTGAACGGCACTCTCAATGAAGAGAGTGCTTGGCAACACCTTTGCCAGAAGTGCGCAGCTGTTTGGTGTTTGGTTGGTGAAAGGTGTTTCGCCACATTATGAGGTTGTATAATCGCCCAGTAAGCAGCTTAGTAGGAGCAGCTCCCAACGTACCTACATTGAGCAAAAGGCCCAGGAAAGGATAAGAGGAAAGAAAGCGATAACGATAGATGATAGATGACATCAAACGTTTTGTGTTCTAGGGAGGCCCTAAGGATAGGGATAGGGAGATTGGTACGAGGTTGGTGGAAGGTGATTCAGGCTTGTGCATCCATCCACTGGCATGATGGAAGTCAAGGTTCTCCTAGTTTCTCCTTTGCTGCACAACGACACAGATCAGGAGCCTTCCAGATCAAGATGCATTTGTCATCTGACAGCCTGCAGCTCAAAGCAGACCAGTTCTCTATAACAAGGTCTTCTCAGATGTCACCAATGATGGCAGCTGTGCCTATCAGATCAACAACGAGACATCAGACGACCTGGTTGTTCGGATTTCATGGAGGGGATTGGAGGCCTTGTTCGGAGATGAAGCCACCAGATCCAGGAGACACAGCCCAGGTGCAAAAAGACGAGTCACAGAAGCATCTTCGCGCAGTCACTGGGAAGCAAACCGATCAAGTCTTTTGGTGAGAAAGTGGAGAGACAGGCGCGGGAGGCAGCGAATGACAAAAAGCGCTTGCAGCGCAAGTTGGCCACATTGCAAGGCGAAGGGCACGAATCCACGAGCTCTTCGAGCAGCGGCACAACCTCTTCAGACAGTGGAGACTGAAAGAAGATGCGAATCCATGCAGCTTCGAGAGGAACCCTGTATAATGGATGTTTTGCAGACCCCAATCCGGTGAGAAGCGATAAACAGAACAGGGAAAAAACGATAACGCTGTCTTGGTAATAGCAAAGTGCATGGGCTTTCTTTTGCAACCCCACGTGTTCAACTCACACGGCGCCCTGCGATAGAAAAGGATGGAAAAGGTTTTCTTCGACCACAGTTTGATTCAAAGAAACACATGGTAATTTTTGCCGACCCTTTGGCATCTCAGATGTTCTTCACAGCTGACCCGCTGATGGGGCCGCCATCAGCGCAGGTACTGGCATTCCAGCGACGCACGGCTCAAAGATTGGCCTGTGCTCTCTGCGAAAGGCTGGGAATTCATGGTTTGTGCCTTGCTTTGCCCAAGAACAGTGGGTTCTTCAATCGTCTCTTGATGTTGATCTATTGTGGTGTTGATCTATATGTATATGTATATATATATATGTTTTTGTGTATCCTGCTTTCCTGCCTGGAAGGATGAACTTGTTATTTTCACCTCTTTTGGCCGAGTGTGAACAGTTCTTCGTGTCTGTTGTATGAGAATGGGAACCGACTGAAACCCTGCGGGTCACCAGGTCTTTACCGAGCACTGGAGCAGTGGATGCCGATGGAAGGTCGGGTTGTGAGCAGTGCCCTGTTAACACGTCAACGACTTGCGTCAATTGCGCCGGCCGTCAGGAGCGGCAATGTCCTGTTCTCACAAGAGTTTTCTCACTTCTTCGTTGGACCAACACACTTTGACTCCAGTGAGAAGTATGTCGAAGGAACTCCACAGTACTATGGATGCCATGATGGCGCTTTGACATGTCTTGGCCCAGATAAAGACTCTCTGCAAGAAATTGGATTGGTTTGTTGCGCGAGGCTTCTATGTTCTGACCAACGCGTTCCCTTGGGGCTTGTTGGCCTTACTTAGTCACTCGCCCATGACGTCCGTCGGAAAAGAGACTGTGACCAGAGGAGAGACTTCTAATTCAGAGATCATGCAAATCCCAGATCTTGCCAGGCCGAGAGCATGTCACTACCAATTTTAGCGGAGGTTTGGTTTCACAACATCAAAAAACAAACTCAGTTTGGTTTCACAACATTTGCAGCTGCTAACCCAGGCATCGAGCAGGGCCAGCTTTGCGCTCGGATGGTGCGCTTTCTTCCACAAGGGGAGAGTATCACTGAGATACAGGTCCCGTTTTTCCAGGTGGGCTGCGGGAGATGATAGACTCTGACTGAGCCCGGGTTTTGAGGCTGGAGACTGACTTATTATATGACTCTAAGATTAATGTTTTGATATGTTTTGATATGTTTTACATGGTTTTACTTTTTTTTAATTACCAAGTTTTGAACATGGTGTGTATCATAAAGCGTCAAAAAAAACATCCTGTGAACCATTTCTGCAACTGGTTTCTCTAACAAGGGCATTGTGGGTTCGACTTTACTTATGCCTTTGAGCACAACTTCACTCATGAGCCAAACCACGCTCTCTTCACGCGACCAAGTGATGGATCGATGGATCATGATGGGGCAAGTTGAAGAGAAAGAAGGCCGCCATGCATTCCTCCGGGGCATTTTTAAACTTGTTTTCGACCAAAAGTGACTTGTTTCCTCTGTTTGACTTGCGACGGAATGGATGAGCCATTCTCACCAATACGACCGGAAAAATCTACACTTTGCCTTCTAAATCTTCTAACTTCAGGCAATTGTTTGAGGACGAAGCTGCAGGGCGCTCTCTTGTTCTCCCAAGCTCCAGGTCAGCGTGAGCGAAGAACGTGGCAACATCAGGTGGGAGCGTGCGTTTGCGGTTTTTGCGGTCACAGTGGCGCTTTGGCGCTTGCGTTAATGGCAGTCTTTGTACAAATTGGTCGAAGACCTCTTTTTTTCTGAGGCAGAAGGAAGTAGAGGGTACTGAATTCCAAGAGTGAAGTTCCCTTATTTTTTGGTGCCAAATGCGGATCTCAAGGGTTTGGGTAGGCTCGGAACTCGATCTCGTTCGTCCCAGATAGGCCTTTGGATGTTTTAAGCCCAAATGTGAAGTCTGAGCATTTTCTTGCCAATGGAGTAGTAGAGCTGAATTCCAAATACTTAGTTGCATAGAGCATTCACAGTCTACAGTTCAAAGCACAACATGGTTTCTGGGCCGTCCCCTGCAGCCTTGGCCGCCAGGAGCGTCATTCAAGCTCCATGGCTGCAGTTCGACTCTATGGCAACCATCGCGCCGATTGAATCGTCACAACTGGTGGCTTCAACCCAGGACGCCATCGCGTCGCTTCGCGTCGCGTTCATGCAAGGACATCATAGAGCCTTTTTGAGCCTTCGTTTGCCTGTTGAGACGATGCAAGGTGTGGTCTTTGGTAAGAACATCAGTGGTAAATCACGAAATCATATGTAATTATACAATATTTTATAATGTATTCATGCCAACATGGTGAAAATCAATGTCAGTTGTACATGAACATATTAAAAATATATAGACATAGAATATGAATAGAATATATATTGGGAGTTGATCGAAACCCCGTGTAAGGAGTTTTATATAAAACAGCCTTTCAGATGCGTTAGAACCATCGGCGAAAGATTCGCGATGAGGTTCGCGAAAGTATCCTTTTTTTTTCCGCGAAAGAGTTATCGAAGGTCATCGCTTTCATTGCGGAGTGCGAAGTAAAAACAAAGCTACCAAAACAAGCGGTCGCGGCCGAAGCAAATGTTTTCTAACATGCGAGCCAGCGCTGACTGCGGATGCGTCAGCGGTCTCAAGTCAAAGCCACCACATGGCAAAAACGTGCACCGACCACCATTTCTCACATCCCTAGAAAAGAGTGTTGACATGTGGTCGAATTAACGGCCGGCGCTGCCAGCTTTGGCTCGGCCAAACTTGACCTTCCGGCGCTGCCGTTGGTCTTTGCGAAGGCGCTGCCTATGCTCCTCCAATCGCCTTTCTGCGTCAGTCTGCTTTAGTGACAGGCGATGGTTCTGGCAGAAGCTCTCCCAAAGCGTCCCCTTCATGCGCTTCGTGAGCACATCTGCCTGCTGCTGACGGGTCGGAACCCAGAACAGTTGGTATGCCTTTTGTTCCAACATGTCCTTGGCCACGAGGAGGTCAAGCATAGTCTGCCTCTCACTTGGTACGTGGCCTGTCGTGTGGACATGGTCGTAAAGACTCTTGGCGTGTGTGACCAGGCCGCCTTCATGGCGAAGCTTGGACCTCCAGTCCGCTGAGGGTGAGGTGGTATCACCAAACCACAACATGTCCAGTAGCGCCCTCAAATAGAGGTGCTTGTCCACTGCCAGGGACATGCTGTTGCTCTCTGCCGCCATTGAGCTTCTCACCACCCTGGTGCTTCGGGAGGTGTGGAATTCCAGCGGGGCTGCCAGCTGTGGCCCTTCCTTCACTCCATCTGTCGTGAGGAAGTGTATCGATCCCAGCTGGGACCGACCATCGGTCTCCTTTCCCAAGGAGGCGTCGAAGAAGCTCAAAACGTACGGCCTCCCACGATTAGTGGGATAGCGCAGCTTGGCTCTGCCAGCTTTCTCTTCTTCCAGGAAGTTCTGGTGTAGCTTCACAGCTTCCTGAGAGTCCTTGTAGGTGGCCTGGTTGACTCTCTGAGCCAAGGAGCTGATCTCATACAGCTTGTGAGGCATTGCCAACTGAGCCGGCCATCGAAGTCGCATAGTCAATTGGCGGTATTGTGTCACGCCCTGCGTGTCCAAAGGTTCATCCGGCTTCTTCTTCTGCATCTCAGGGACCTTGATGTTCCGAATGTAGGCTCCCATGTTGTCGCAGAGCAGAGGCCCCCTTTCTCAGCCTTCTCCAGATCTACTCCCAAAAAGGTCAAGGGAGTCTCCTTCCACTCCTTGATCTTGAAGAGCTTGTTCAGCTGTGCCTTCAACTTGACAAATCGACTGTCATTTGGATTTCCCAGAAGGAGTCCATCGTCGACGTGGAGGCACAAGATCGCCCAGCTGATGCCGCCTTCACTGGCCGCAAATGTGGCCTTGGCAATCGGGGGCTCCTTTAGCGGCGTCTGGCTAATCAGCTGCACCGCCCGAAGGTACCAAAGCCTCGGAGCTTCCGTCAGGCCATATGCACTCTTGAGAATGCGCAAGAGCTCAAAGGGCAAGATGGCACTCCAGCCCTCAGCGGCTGGCAAGCCCTCAGCCGGGGCCTTCACGTAGATCTGACGATCTGTCTCCAGGCCCGACAAAAATGCCGTCGTAACACCGAAGCTCCAACAGATCCATGATCTGAATTGGCTGATGGCCTTTGCCATCCTCACAGAGACCAGGCTGGTCGTGGGCGCGTCCGTCCGGAAAAGGCCCAGATGCGGGTCCCGATGACCCAGGATCACCAGCCTGCTTTTGGCCAGAAGAGGAAGCAACATCTTCTGCTGCTTGTTCACCCGCACCATCCGCATGGGGCTTTTGAACACCGCCTCTCGAGGCACTTTTCTCTGCTCGTCGGGGCTCAGTCTTTTGATCACTCCATTCTGTATCCACTGAGCCCACTCTTTCTTGTCCGCCTCTGCGAACTTGGACCGTTCCTCCTCGCTGAAGAATCTCGGGTCCAGCTCTTTTCCACTGGCTTTCATGCGAAGCAACATCACCTCGCTCATCAACACATCCTTCATCTCAGCCAGCCATTCTCGTTCGAAAAGCTTCCGTTGGCGTGAACTCCAGCACACCTCCTAGATCTCCCCATCTTTCTCCACATAGCTTCGGACTTTCTCTCCCCCCTTCTTCTTCGGGGCTTCCTTGTAGTACATTGTGATCCCCTTCCAGGCGAACCCCGCCTTGTTTTCTTCAACCACAAAAGCATTTCGCGGATCCTTCCCCAGCAAAATGCTGAGCCGCGCTCTGCTGGCCATCTTAGGCGGCCGCGCTAGCCGCTTGCGGGGCTGCCGGTGCAACCGGGCTGCCGTGATGGGGAGCCCTGTGAGTTCCCGCAGCAGCGAGAGCTCATAGCGGGAAACCCACTCATTTGCCTTCTCTTCTTCTTCGGTGACCAGCGTGCTCAGCATCACCTGAGTCACCAGGTCTTGAGACACTCTGGCTCTCTTGTTCGGTGGTGCAACCCCCGTATCATCATCATCTTCATGCAGCCGCTTCCGAATGGAAATTGGTAGATCATCCAGGAGATGGCGCTGCCTCTCCTCCGTGGTTTGCTGTCTTAGCAGCTGCTGAAAATCCTCGTCCCTTGGTGCCACTGCTTCTTCTCGATTGGGCTCATCATCAAATTCATCCATTGGCACAGGGACATCCTCTGGTCTCACCTCCCGTGCAGGAGGTGGCAAAGCCAGCGGCGCAGCCGGGCGTACTTGTTCTGGCGCCGCCAGGGGCATCTGATCGCCACCAGCAGGTGGACTTGGTAATGCCCTTCTTCGCTTCGGGCTCGGCGCTGCCGGCATGCGAGCGTCTGCCAACGCTCTCCTCCTCCGAAGCATCTGGGCGGCTCGCTGAACCTGATCCTTCAAAAGGTTCCTCACCGTCCTTGAGCCTCTCATCATCAAACGTGCTCGCTTGCTCTCTTCTGGCTCAGGCGGTCTTGTCGATGCATCTACTGCCGCCCGTCTGGGTCTCTTGCGTGGTGGAGGAGGCTGTGGTCGTAGCTCCTTGTACACATTCTGTCGGCCTCCATCCCTGAGCATATCACCGACACCATCCATTTCTTCATGAACAGGCTCCGTCAGCGCCAGCTCTTCTCTCGTTGCTAGCCTCATGTTCTCTTCCGCCAGCAACAGAAGCCGTCCACGCCAAGAGACAAAATACTTCTTGGGCTTCTCCCTGACGAGGACAGTGGCTGGGCCGCGCCATGCGCCACCCTTCTTGTAGCGCACCCCCTTTTGTGTGCTAGGTGTCCAAAAATAGACTTGTGCACCAGGAATGAAAGGTCCAGAGTGGGAAACAGCCGGCTTCCGCAAAACGGCTCTCCGCACCTTCTCTCGTACATCATTCCTCAAGAGGGCAATACGTGCAGTTGTCCGCATCTTATGCGCTCGGGACACCTCACTGTCTACAGAGACGCCCTCTGCAAAGGACATCTTGGGGTCCTCATCGGTCTCATACCCAAACACTCGTTGGTTTGGCGTGTAGCCATCCTTTGTGAGCGTGCCATTCTTGGCGGCTACTGTCGCAGCCAGTCCTTCTTTGAGGCCCTTATAGCCTTGCAGACTGTGTTCCTGCACCACGGCATCGAGCATATCTCCAAGGAGGCCTCCATGCCTCTCTCCAGCTGCCAGCTGCCATCCGGCATGAGCAGCGGTCACCTCACTCGGGATGCTAAGCTGCTCCAAGTAAAGGGTGAAGGTCCGCTCGAATTCTCCTCCTTGGTCTGTCGTGACCTTTCCCGGGACTCCGTACAAGGAGATCCAGTGTCGGAAGAATTTCTTGGCGATGTAAGTGCTCTGCTTGGACTTGACCATCACCGCATCATGCTTGACCGTCCCCAAGTCCAGCATTGACAAACATGTGTACTTTTTCTTGCGGCAATCGTACACATACTTGAGGTCCAAGTGCACGTGGTGATTGAACCCATAAGGCCTCACACTCGGCGCAGCCGCTTGAGGGTGTCGTGGAGCCGCCCGCTGGGCGCAGACATCGCATGTCCATCTTCTCGCCCACCGTTGGGCATCTTCTGTTGCTCCACTCATCTTCAACATCCTCACCAAGGTGCTCCTGGAAGGGTGTCCCAATTGTCGATGGGCAAATTCCACGGCCTTCCGCACCTCCATGGGAACCGGATGGCGCTGCCCCTCCTCCGGCTCCTCATCCTCTTCTTTTAGGAGCCCTGTCATCTTCTCTTCTTCTTCAATGGCCTCTTCTCCTGCCTGGAGATCACCATCTGACATAGCTCCCTCATCACCATCGTCTTCAACGAAAGTGCCTTGGTGCGCTGCACGAGCTCGAAGAAAATCCTCGGCGCCATCAATGATGGCATGGCACAGAGGAACAGGGTATCCTCCTGCCCATTCACTCAGTGAGCGCCACTTGCCATCAGCTCCTTTGAACTTCCCTTCTATAGGCCAGTGCTCATGGCTGTGGTCGCACCTTTTCTGGAGATATCTTCTTGTCCTTGAAAACGGGTGCGCTTTCTCATAGGTGCACCTTCTACTGGATGCTTCAAGCCATACTGGCATTGGTCAGCGACTGCCTCAGAGCAGCCATGAAATGCATCCAGAATCTCCGGTGTCTGCCATGCACGGCTGTTGAAGGGGTTCTCACCCAATACTGCTTTGTGCCTCCGGCGCTGCCAGAGTATTGCACGTCTTGTGAACTGCAGGAAGACTTTGCGGGACTCTAGCTGCTTTGCATGCAGCGCCGCTTTCTGCTGCGGTGTCTTCTGGTTGAGGTACTGTAGCTGAGTCCACGGCCCGCACGGCCAGGCCACCACCAGTAGATCAGGCTCTGCCTGCTGGATATACCGCATAGCTTCTTCCTGCACAGCCGGACTCCTGATGTCCCAGCCAGGCAACGTCACTGGCTCCAAAAAGGTCCATCCTCGGCTGAATGCAATCTGGCTGACCATGCATGACCAAGTAAAGATCTCCAGGATCCGCCAACGTCGTCTTCTTGGTGGTTGTGGAATCTTGGTCTGGTTAGCCATCAAGCACTGACGTGCAGCAATGTCTCGGCTTGCTGCCTCAGAAATCTCTTTGGTCGCTGCCAGAAGTCTTCTTCGCTGACCTTTCGTCAGCAGCTCATCGCTGGCGCTGCCAGAATCCGCCACCAAGGTGTCTTCCACCCTTGACCACTCTTCTTCCTCCGACTCCGACGACTCTGATCCACTCCTCAAGGGCCTCCAAGTTTTGACAGTTTACCAGAATTTCCTCAAGAGCCCTAAAGTCTCCACACTTGAGCCTCCGCCCAAAGGCGGAAGGGCAGGGGGCCGGGCAAGAAGAAGTCCATGAAAGCCAGGAAAAAATGAGGAGTTGGTGGGGCTGACCGGACACCTGAAAGTCGCTACCACCGGGTAACTCGGAGGTGTGGCTCGTTCGAAGGTGGAGTGACTAGGAAGTTTCCGTTCACTCAGGGTGTGGCCGGGTGATTCGGAACGTTCCTTCCCATAGATGGTGATCTAGGGTTTCAGTGTGTTCGGTCTGCTGTGTTTCCTTTATCTCTTTTTACTGACAAAATCGCTGCGAAGTGGACAAAAGAAGCAGTCCGTGCATCTTGATATATATATATAAACATATGATCAATATTGTATGAACATTGACTGAACTTGTGGCACCAAGACCGGTCCCTTCACCTGTGCCCACCCCCCAGCCATGTCAGATTTTCTGCAGCCCACGACCCTTGACTGGACCACAGATGACCACAGACCACCTCCAACAACCCCTCCACCTTGTTTGGGGTTGGGATATGTTTAGTCTGTTTAGTTGTTTGGTTTCGTGGTTCACCTATGTCCTACTTACAGCTTTGTCAACGAGCCGGGCCGGACGCCTGCAACATTGATAGTATTGGATTCTGTCGGCCTGGCGCAAGAGGTGTGGGCATGAGATGTCCACCAATCGAATATACAATCTATCCTACGGTAGACTTGCCATTCTCGTGAAATCCCTTTGCCCAATCACAGAAGTCGTGGGTCCGCCAGAGGAAAACGCGCGCCGACCGAGACCTTCTCGGTCCCGAGACCTTCCTTCGTGGTCTGGAGTCGAGACCCCCGACCTGTCCAGGAGAGTCATTTCTTCTCGAGCCAAAACATTGGCGAGCTTGGACTCTTTCAAGCACGACGCGCCTTCAGACTGGAGGTCGCGTTGTGACGCAGCAGGGGACGGGTCAGGATGTTTCGAAATCAGGACGTTTCTTTTTTGTTGGTGAGCCAGCTGGTCACGTGAAACCGTGAAGCCCTGAAGACCATGGTTTGGACCGGTCACTTGCCGCAATCATTCTTGGCTACCCTATCAAACTGTCTGCGAGGCTGGTGACAACTCTGAAAAGATGGTGGACAAGAAACCAGCTACAGCAGCAGGCCGGTGGGAAGAAGGAAGGACTCCGAGACTCCTCGAACTCCTTCGCCCTCGAACAGGGAAGAGAGAGAGAGAGAGAGTCCTTTTTTTCTCGTCACACCGTGTGCTCAGGTGTTCTTGGCTATCCTTATGGCCTTCAAGATTACCTGGATGAGAGCGAGGACTCGACGTTGAGAGCGTGTCCTAATATTGAGCATCAAGCAGTGAGGACTCTTCAAACAATGTCAGGAGATTCCGGAAGTTGATGAATCCTCCACTTTGAGCGGCTTGGTAAACGAATCAACGTGGATTCAAGTGACCCCAAAGAAGCGTTCGTATTTGACTGTGACGCAGCCAACACATTTGTGTGGGTTTGCTGAGCATCAGGGCCGAACGCTCTCGCGCTCGCTCAGCATTTGTTCATCCCAAAATGGCAGACGGCCAGGTAAGAGTTGGGCTCCTGGGCGATTGGGCTTGGAGGGCGAGTTGAAGCAGCGAACTGATGCGATGCTGCGGGAGCTTCTCAGCAGGCAGAGAAGAAGGGATGCGATGTGCATGAAGTTTGCGAAGCATTCGCTTCGTTTGATGTGGTGAGTCGACTGACAGCAGCGAGTCCTGCACCTCGCCAGGCCTCGGTTTTGTGACCTCGCCTTGATTCGAAGCCCTGACGAGTCACTTGGCCCTGACGAGTGTGTGAAAAGATGCATGATGTGGGCCATTTTTTCCCCATATATTATGACCATTGCGCATTAGGATAGGTGACAGGATAAGGACCAAAGCCTGGGTGACAGGATAAGGACCAAAGCCTGATTGGCCCTGTTAGGATTGGTGAAACATGTCAAAACATCTTCCAGTGAGCACTAGATTTTCCTGCATATCATAGGTCGAACGGCCTGGATTGGCTTAAACTCACCAGCATAAACTCACCACTCACCACTCCGTATTGGTCGTACCGTTCGGGATGTGCTACACCGGATCTCGCCTTCCAAAACGCGGCGCCAACGGCCTCGGCGCCCAACGGCCGCTGCTCCCCCGCAGGTTCATGCCGGCGGACCCCACGGTCCCACGCCTGCGGCCCGGACTCTATGCGGGCGACTACGGACACGGCATGTACGGCGCCTGGGTCCTTTGGGAGGGCGTGGCGCGTGGGGGCGTGGCCACTCATCCGGATTTTGATCTGATTACCCCTAGTTACAATATATAACAAGCACGCAAGGTTTGAAATCGGAAGAAGCCCGATTTTCCACCAATTTACCAATTATATGGCTGTGGCTGAGTGAGCGTCACAATTCTTAGGTTTTACAGTTATCCAGTTATCCTATGTTCCTGTACCATTCTACCATTTTTTCCTGGGTTTTGAATGGTCTGGAGGAAGAAGAACCCGATGTGTTGCCATGTTTTGCCCCGTTCCATCTCTTCAGATTCGGAGGCCAATATCGAGTGGAGGTGCTGCTCTTGGATTATGTCTCTTTGACGGCCGAAGAAGTCCGAGCTGAGATTCAGGACATTCGAGCTAAAACGGCCCCAACCCCCTGGCCTTGAAGGTCCGAAGATGGGAAGAGACTGTGTTATCTGAGACGGTGTCCCATGCTTGCCTTAGATATCCTTTTTTTTTTGGACAATGATGTGCTTGTCGTGCATGCAGCATGCATATACGTACTTGCCACCAGAAGTGCTTTTTTTGAAGCCTTCAACATCCGCAAGCCATCCATCCCTGACCCTTCTATCAGATTCGATGCACGACTCTCAGTGTTGTGAGGACCCACAGCGTCTTTTTAAACGACCTGGAGGCCATTACCCTGCCCCTGGACAGTTGCGGGCACTGGCCGAGCTCAATCAATCGCCCCTTGGTGGAATTGGATGAGCGGATGTGTCATTCTGTTTATAAGTATACGTTTATAAATTATAGTCGTTTATTACAATATGTTTATAAGCTGCATTCATCTCCAAGTTGTTGCTATTTCTCAGATCCGCGAATCCGCTTGTTTACAGATTCATCCACTCCTGGGGGGTGCTCGCTTCAGTCAGAGAGCTGGGCAACACCAGCACAAGAGAGCTGGGCAACACTTCCAGTTTCAAGGCCCTGGGGGACCCAAGGATCACCGCCACACCACCTAGGATCACTTTCATGCGCGTCGTGAAACAGTGTGGAGCCACCTGGCAGACCTGCAAAAAGCCGCGAAACGGTTGAGTGTAGTGTAGCGGGTTGGTGCCGCGACGTCGATGGGTTGATCTGCTCCACTCGCAAACACGTTTTCCACGAAAAGGGCGTTAAAGGGATTGTCCAGAAGACAGCGTTAGCGTTGATGTTTACTGATGTTTCATGGCCAGGCTTCAGGAAGTGATTCTATATGCCATTAAGACATTAAGAATAAAAACAGGTTCTTGGACCTCTTTGTCGCGGTCAAGGCGGACACAAAAAGGGAGTTCTTGGACAATAAGGGGGTTCGTCCACCAGCTTGACTTGTGTTTTGCTTGATCTGTTTGAGACCAATTTGACACTAGATCACACCAGATCACATTTTCGCAACTTCCAAGTCGTCTGGAAGTTTCACTGACCAGGCACCAGACGTGTCATCCCTTTTCGACTGACATCGCACTCCTGTCGCCCAGGATCTTCACGTCCCCATGGGTGCCACCACCTTCGTGGCGATCTGTGCACCGGAAAACGCCCTCGACGGAGCACAGAATGGGCCATCCAGAGTTCAGAACCGACAGCCGCTGGCTGCTGAACTTGGACGGTTTGTTGAGCTGTGAAAAGTGGTTTTACAATTTACTGGAAACTTACAGAAGTCCTCAACTCACACTGAATCTGAATCTAGAATCACTTTACATGTATACATTGCTTTCAGTGTGGCAGCAGTTTCAGTAGGTTTAGCTTGGCTTCTGCTGGATCGCATCACTCCGGATTCAAGGACTTCGTCCTGGGAGTCTGTGGCCAGATCCTGGCGTGGCTTCGGGACGCTGGCGATGCCAGGTGCCAGGGATCGCGTGGCGATCGCGTGGCGATGGGGGGGTGGGCATCAAAAACCGATTTCATTTTATGAGCCGATAAGGTGATTCTTGGAGCCGATAGGAGCGGATGAAAGATGAACATTGAAGAACTATGTCAAGGATTGAGCCAAAAAACAACGGAACTTTGGTCATTCTGTGATTCTAACTTCCAGAATGATCCAGAATGTTCACGTCGACCTATTGTGCAGGAATGACATGGAATGACCCACGGTAGAGTAGAGTGACAAGAGTGTATTGAACTCCTACTTAAAAGCTATGTCATGAGTCATGATGTCCATCCACCTAGCAGCGGTTCGCGCGTACCCTTTTCCGTCAGGCTTTGGTCGACCTTCCTGGGACACGGGGTGGCTGGTACAGTTTGCTCACCGGGCTGGGGAAGATCGCTTTGGCTTCGTTTGGGATCGCGCACAAGATGCCGTAGTCCTCAAGTGGACACTTGGAATGGAATGATAGACGACCTGCAGCAAGGAAACAGGGAGGGAATCTTGCATTGATGTTCTGGACAGAGACAAATATGATCGTATCAGACATGCAAAGAGTTGCCAACACAGTAATCATAGTCATAGTGGTTGACAATGTTGAGAACTCCTTCAAGTGCTTGGTTCCAAGAGCCTTGCTTGTTTTGAGGATCGGGCTGCAGGACACTTGCCCATTCCTGCAGCGAAGCTGGCTGCCAGAGGATGTGCGATGATCGAAAAGGGACTCTTCAGCTCTTTGTGAAGGAAACTGCATTACATGCATCAAAGGTCCATCTGCATGAAGCTTTGAAGCTTGGGGAGACACCGAACCTGCCAAGTGGTTTCGAGGTTGGCTTGGCACTCATGTTTGCGATGATGGCAGATGCGCTGGGCCCTCGGTTCTCATACAGGGACCGTGCGCGTGGCGTGTCTTTTCAACGACGCACGGAACGGGAGAAAGCCAAGGCTGTTCATCGCCAAGTACAGCAAGGCGACGGGACGGAAATGCATTGCGCACGGAACTTTGAGGGATCCAAAGCGTCAAACCACTGTCGTTCTCACACGGAACTTGGGCAGGAACGAGAAGCCAAAGCAGCAGAAAGAGCATTCTGGCACGAGGCTTCTGGGGAGTCGCGAAAAATAATTTGTGACAAAAGGCAAACTTCCTTTCTTTCAGGGCAAATTCAATTTGAAGGAAAGTGTCTTTTAGGCTATTGCTTTTCTTGTGAAATTGATGTTTGTGAAGACACTTTCCCTTCAATCAAACGGATCGGTGAAACGGTTGGGAATCCCTCGACAGGATGAACCCATGGAGGAAGTCTATAGGGCAATCTGCGGCTTCACCCAGAGGCATGGTCTGCCAGGGCGTGGGAATTTGGGCCAAGAATGCAAGGAGCCCCTAGTAGCTTCTTGTTACTAGTAGTAAGGCCAGGAATGGCCAGGAGCCCCAAGTAGCGTCCTTGCTCCTAGCAGTAAGGCCAGGGGCCGCCAGTTGATTCTGGTTCCTAGTTTTGGGCCAAGAATGCGGGGTTGAAACTGGGTTTGCCAAAGGCTTTGTGCTTTATGAGAACCTCAGAATGTGTTTGAACGGAAGATCTTCCACCTTGAGCAAGCTGTGTGGCAGGACTATGATCCGATTCTTTCCTTCACTCTACGTGAGATATTTGAAGATGACAGAGAGGCATGAGATCCGGAGCTTGTCACTGACAGTCTTCGCACGACTGCATTGGTCAGATCCAAGTTGATAGGTCCAAGGATGAAGATGAGGCTTCAGACACACCTTCGAAAGAGGCGGCCGCAGATTTTGAAAAGCGTTCCCAGAAACAACAAAGGTGCCATCAATACCATCATTAACCTTGAGATGTTCGAAAGGTGTTCATGTTTTGGTAGGGTGTCAAAGTGTCAAAAGTGATTTATACATGATGATACCTCATGAATCATGATAAATAGCTATGGACTGGGAACAAGAATTAATTAATCATGGTTTCTACGTTCGCAAACATTGTTACTACTAGTAAGGCACTTGTTACTACTAGCGATGCACTTGTTCCTAGTAGCTTTTAAAGGAGACGGGGTTTTCTTCGTCCTCCCGTCGTCAGGGAAGGAAGAAAGCCGTAGCTGCCATCGAGGACAAGGCCAGTCAAGCCGTCGATCCGACGCCGTCGAAGTGAAGCGCTCCAGGTCAGCAGCGAAAAGTGGACCCGACATGTTTCTGACGACCCTTCGGAGCACCGCTGGCTGTAGAACGCATCTGAAAGCTGATTGATTTGGTCTGACAGGGGGTGTATCTTTTTTTTGCTTTTCACGTGCTTACTGAGATGTCTCAGCATTTTGAGTCCATGTGGTGCGCACATTCAATAGTTACACGGTTGTGATCTTCGGGTGCTTATATTGCAACTGTGGATGCGCGTTTCTCTCGAACGTCTCTTTATGCCAGGGGTGGCAAGAAGATCACGGATGATGATCGGCCCACATCTCAAAAAGGGTGATGTGTGTAGTTCTTGAGCAAATGCACGGTCGTAAGCACTGCTGATATCTGCTGATGATGCAAATGATGCAATCTGTAGGCTGGCAACCTACAGATTCAATTTTTCACAAGATATTAGCATAGCCTGTGATTCAGATGATGCAAGATCATGCATCATCAGTTAAGTGGAGATTGCTGTAGGAGTTCAACTGGATCATCAAATTCTTCATGGGGGTTTTGAAAGCAAAGTTGCGAAATCGAGGTCAAGTCACTCGGGATTCAGCCATGATTCCAGCGAGGGGCCTCTCCGGCCAAACTCAGAGGACTTGGGACTGGGACCGATACGAACAACAAGGAGCTTGTGAGTTTTTAGATTTAGAACTTCACCCTACAAGAAAAAACAAAGACATGCAACAGAAAGAAGGCGAGACACCTTAAAGACCCGCTTTCAAAAGAGCCTTGCCATCCCTTTTTCATGTCTTCTTTCTTATGTCCTTTTGCAACGTTGGGAACTCCATTACTGTACTCGTACTTTGGCAAAGCCTGGTACTGTAAGGCTCAGATTGGATGTAGGGAAGGAGCAAAACCTGGTGGTCCAGACATTCCAACGCCTCTTTCGTCAAAGAAGCTGTTTGATAGCTACGTAGCCCTACAGTCCACCCGTATCTCGGGTTTGAGGAGCTCAAGAGAGCCATCGAGCATATGCCGGGGTCTTGGAGAAGGGGGTGCTTTACCTTGGGTGGGGGAGTCATCGTCGGCAGATGGTGATGGTACTGTACATGGGTGCGGTAGGCTGCTGAAAGTACAGTAATTACATCATGGTATTGAACCATCACATTAAGTGTCCTTTACCCTGCTAGCAATGGCCTCCAACCTAATAGCGGGCGATCTTGACTTAAAAGTGTTTTTTTTTCTGTTTACACTGTTCTTGACACCCTTTTGTAGACCTGTCTTTTTTCCTTTCTTGCTATGGAACGTCTTTGAAGATGAGGTTTATAGGTTGGGGTCCATGGATAAGGTCTGGCCGCATCTTGAGCGAGCTGACGCTGGTTGGCATTGAGGTGAAGTTGGGCTCCCTAGCATTTCACGCATGATTCTGAATGGAGAAAACTCGAGTGCAACCAAGAAAACAGATGAGGTGTGAGATTGGGTGTGGTGAACATAGGCAAGCTCTGTGGAATCTGAACATTTTAGGCAACCTCCAGATGGCATGTTGTTCCACCGGGGTGGAAGGAAGTGGCAGCAACATCCCTTCTGGATTTTTGAAACAGGGTACCCTGACAGGGGCGATCTACAAACGGGACGGGTTGGCAGCACTTGAGGTCGGAACTTCACGATGTCACCGAGCGTATCGTTGGGCCCTGAGTGGTTGGATCGTGGCTACAGACGACTGGATTCCAGATTTTGATATAAGGCATTCTGATCATTCTGGGAAAAAGGTGAACATAACATCGTGGTTCCGACTTTTCAGGAGTTTTATTTTGTGACTAGTTTCTGGCCGACGCAGGGAGAAGCAGAACTGAGGAATGTTAGCAGTGCGCTTTGGGCAGTCTAGGTTCTGGTAAAGCTCCAGAAATCAATACTGTTTAATCAGTATTCTTGGAGAGGTGAACTGTGAACTGAACAACTTACTTAAATGCATCCTCAGCTAAGGCTCAGATGCAGATGGCTGTGGAGGAGCTGGCCTGGCGAATGGAGAAGGCGTCCAGATCTGAAACATTGGGTGACCACAATACAGAAGACTACACTTCCCACTTGGCGCAACACATTGTTCGATTCGTTTGCTAATTTTCAGGCTGTTGGGGTAATTAGGAAAATTGTTGGTTTACTCTCATTTTTGATAGGGATTCTTGGTGCCCGAGCGAAAAGCGCTTGAATTGACCGACAGGAACGAGACAGGAGCGGTCTGACCTACAAGTATTTAGGTAGACGAGACTTAGATACACTTTGAAGATAGTTGAAGTTCGCTAAAGAAAGAACAGAACTCCACACTTGGCCCCGTGAAGGTCAGAAGCGACCAGGAGCAGGAGATACAAGAACCGGGGGAAGACATTTGAGACATGGTTAGTTCTTACTTCTCACATTTTCTTACATCTTTCTCATGCAGTTTTACACAAAAACAAGTTCTAGATCAGGTTTCAATAGTTTTCACATGTTTACACGTGCTTACACAAATCACAGAAATTGCCAGACTCAAGGTCTCACAGCAAGCTTTGTGTGCGCAGACCAGGCACTGTTCATGACAGAGGCGTTCCGGCAACCAGACACATCGAACAATGTGTTTGGAACGGTGCTGCCTGTGCACAAAAGCTGCGTTTCACCAGGAATTCAGAGAAAAAACTAACGCTCAGATTTGAGATTTGACTTACTTCCCGCACATTGAATGGTCGCAGAATGCCATGGCAAGTGACATACTTTGCCGGTTTGCAGTGATTTCAGATGCTTCCCACAGCTGTTGGCTTTCGTCCAAGAATGGAAGACCGTTTGAATGGAAGATGCTGAAGACGGGTGGATTGAACATCTGGAGGCAATCCTTGCACAAAGCACGAGATTTGACAAGCTACAAAAGAGCAACATAATAAGACACACCTTACCCTTACAGGCCCTTACACAACGCTTTGTACAAGCACAAGGCTCTTGGAAGTTCGGAGATGTTTGCCATAGTTGGCAGTGTCTGCTTGGCCTCTTTTGTTTGTAGTGTTCATGTACCTGGCATGGCGACCCATTTTCCAGCGAGCGTTCCACTCTGGGCGGCTCCGCCCATTCTCGTGGAGGGCTCGCAGACGGCCAGTGCAACTGCCAGGACTGTCACCTGGTGCTACCTTGTTTCATCATGTTTCATCCAAACCGGACAAAAAGGCGCAGGAGGTTGAACCCAAGCATCTTTGATTGCTTTGCCCCAGCATCTCGTTGAGGTGGATGTGGCCCCCGAGCGGTGAACGGGTGAATGCCATCGCCGTCGCCGTCGGCTCGTTCGGTGGTTTCACCAGGAGAGGGATCCGCGTGGTGTGACGTCTTCACCCTGGGATCCGCCGTCACCATGGGGCTCCTGTCCGTCACCGTGGCGAAGAGCTGGGTCCGATGCGATGAAGAGTTTAGAGAGCCTTGACGAGGATGAGATCCATGTGATGGGAATGAATGAGTATTTTATATTCCCTGACGCGCTCCTCCTTGCTTGCACCGGGGTCGGCGGATATAAGTATAGAAACTGTAGGGACTATACTCCCAAACAGGAAAGTCGTTGCGAATTCATGATTTTGAGCCTGTACCATTGTGATTTGTTATTTTCAAAAGTCGTTGCGAACTCTGTGCTGCTTGTGTTTCGAGTTTAAAGGAAACCATAGCAATGATATTGAATTATATAATGACCTGATGCAGCACTTTGGTGTCTAATGTCTCTGTGCCT